TAAATTTTTTAATTATTGAAGTCGCTTGGTTAACAAATAAGGCCTTAGCCTCGAGTAAAAAACTTTAGAGAACTTAAACAGAAATACAAGATTAAAAGATTGAAATAATGGACATTTTTATCTAAATATATTTTGTTTAAAAATAATTTTTCATTTTAATATCTATTGTAGATTATTTTTTAATCTAATATCCTTTTTAACCACGTATGTTACGTGGAAAGTATATTCGAAAGCGCTTTTCGTAGGATGTGTCTTGTCTTAGTAACAATAACAACACATGCATATGTTAGAATGAAATAAAAAAAAAATGAGACTCGGAATATAGAAAAAATCATGTGAATGTTATGGAAAAAAAAGAACAAACGTGCATGATGTGTGTCGAAGACATGTAATTAGGGTTGTTTATGGACGGTTAACCGTTATAACGATTATGAGATTTTTCTAAATATAACCTAATCATTAAGAAATGGTTAACCACTAACAGTTAACCGTTATTAACGGCTCGGTTACAGGTTAACATATTACATTTTTTTTGTCAAATTTCTTCATAATTCATACAATAAAAAATGTAACACTTAATACATATTTACACCGGTGTAAGTGAATAAAATAAACAAGTATAACACTTAACACATACTACACATGTGTAAGTGAATAAAATAAACAAGTATAACACTTAACACATACTACACATGTGTAAGTGAATAAAATAAAATAAAAATTGTAACATTTAACATATACTTACACATGTAAATAAATAAAATAAAAAAGTGTAACACTTAACACATATTTACACTGATGTAAGTATGTACATCTCCCAATATTATAGTATCTAACAATAAACATATAATTATATTATTGTAAGTATGTTTATATATTTTCAAAGAAATAAATAATAATAAAAATATATTAAGTTATTTGTATACAAATTTTATTAAATATATATAAAAATTATAAATAATAGAAATTTATATCAAATTATTTGTTTAAAAATATAATAAATTAGAAATATAATTATAAATTTAATTTATTAACGGTTAACCAATGGTTAACTATTTATCAAAAATTTTAAAAGTAACCCTAACCGTTAATAATTATTTTTAGTTGTTTGATTAACTGAAACTATTTAATATTAACGATTCGGTTAATTAACATGCTAAATATAATGGTTATACTTGCTAATGGTTACCGTTAACGGTTTCAAGTTTTTTTAACACCCCTACATGTAATTGCACCAGCGCACTAATCGAATTGTGATAACAACACACTTGTATTAAGATTATGTTTAATTACTTAATAAATAAATGTTTAAACTGTTATATTAACACTACAACAAAATTGTTCTACAGCGGCGTTTTTAGCGGCGTTTTAGGAGTAAACGCCACTAATTTTAAACATATAGCGGCGTTTACATAGCAAACGCCACAAAATGGTAACTTTAGCAGCGTTTTTATAAAAACGCCGCAATAGGTTCATCGATAGTGGCGTTTTTTCAACAAACGCCGCAAAAGAGTAGTACTTTAGTGGCGTTTTTATACAAACGCCGCTAAATACACGTAATTTAGTGGCATTTTTATACAAACGCCGCTATAGAATTATACTTTAGTGGCGTTTTTATACAAACGCCGTTATACACATGTACTATAGTGGCGTTTGTGTTTACAAACGCCGCTAAAGACTCATAATTTAGTGGCGTTTTTATACAAACGCCGCTAAAGACTCATACTTTAGTGGCATTTTTATACAAACTCCGCTAAAGACGCGTACTTTAGTGACATTTTTATTCAAACGCCGTTATACACTTGTACTATAGTGGCGTTTGTGTTTACAAACGTCGCTAAAGACTCGTAATTTAGTGGCATTTTTATACAAACGCCGCTAAAGACTCGTACTTTATTGACATTTTTATACAAACGCCGCTAAAGACTCGTACTTTAGTGGCGTTTTTATTAAAACGCCACTATATACTTGTACTATAGTGGCGTTTGTGTTTACAAACGCCGCAAGTTTACAAATTTTAAGTGTCGCGCCCTTTAACCTGTTTACCCAAACCCATCTTCTTCACTACTAAACCCCAACCCCATATGTTTCATCTACATAAGAAAAAGGGTAAAAACGGTGCTTCTCCGAAAAATACTAGATTGGTAAAATTTTCTCTACTCCTTTCAGTGCAAACAGAACCTGAAATGACAATGATACCCATACACGAAGATTCATATCCCATCTAAACCAAACGAAATCACTCTTTGAGGGTCTTGACGAGTTTTTGAGTAGCTTGTCTATACTTCCGGCAGTCGGGGATGATAAAGTTGAGGCTGCTTAGTGAAGTAAGATGCTTTTTTTTCTTGCAGTAGTTGTAGTTGTTGTAATTAAATGCTTGTAGTATTTAACTATGTTCAGACGCTTAGGGCTCCTTTTATAACCTTTTTGAGGTTGAATCCGACTGTATATTTTGTAGCAGCATGTTTTGTCAATATTTTGTGTCAATCATGACAATTTGTGGATTGAAGATGGAATGTTTTGTCAATCATGATTCTTGCAGTGGCAGGAATAGGCAGTAAGTTTTCTGACTGGTCTATTTCTCTTTTGTGTTGAAAGAGTTATTAGTCATGATAATTGCTTGCTCCCCTCTTTTATTAAAAGGAAAAGAAAAAAACTGAGGCTTAGATTTAATAAAGTTGAAAATATGCTTTGAAAAAAGTGGAATCGATCTATTTAAGTTTGATACTCTTGCTTTTGAGAAGATTTTAATTATAGGGATTAAGATTCAATGGCTATGGAACCTCTATGAATTTAGATGCCAATGCTTTTGCGTTTGCAAATCTGCCCCCTTTGGTCTAAGAGTGAGTTTCGAAGGTTATGGGGCCTCTATTGTATTAGTGGCAGATGCTCTTCTCTTTATTTTCTCCATAAATAAGTCCTAAACACGATTTATTGAGTCGCGAATTCCTTAAATACACCCTTTAACTTCAAGTGGAGGAATCCGAATTGATGTTGTCAGACTCTGGTTTGAAGTACGCAATTTCATTTTCTAGTTGCAGATGCTGCTCAAACTTGCTGGTATGTTAATCCTCTAGTCATTAGCTGCTTATACCAATTTCGAGAGACATTTCTTCTTATAGACTCAAAATCCATTTACCAACATTGTGCTAAATCTCCAGAAGTCTATTCTTCGGAAGATCCTTTGTACTTTGCTTAATAAACTTCTTGCCCTTATGCAGAGACTTAAAATCTGTTTTTCCCATTGTTTTTATTTTTTGATAGCTGGTAACTGCTTTGGTATAAAATATTTTAATCAAATATCAGCATTCCTGTCACCATTCACCAAGCAAGTGTAGCCTTTTGATAATTGAATTGTTGTTCTCTTTTTTCGTTTCATTGTCTTTTAACACATCGTTTTTTTAAATTGCAATAGCTAACTTGTTGGTCAGATGTTAAAGAGCCCAACAAGTCATTCATTCTAGTCATTAGTTGTAGTTTGTTGTAATATGGATGGCTGCTGATCTTAAATGTTTCTGTTCTGTGTGCTGTAAGTTTATGGTTTTCTCTTCTCTGTGGTTGTACTGATAATGTTTCGACAGGTTTCTATTTTTCCTAAAATCTAATTTAGTGAGCAAGATATGCTGTAACGAGTTGCTGGTTGGATAATTTTTTATTAGAACTTGTTTTTGTAATTTGTATGAGGTTTTGGCTTGTTGTAATCGACTCTTAAGGGTGTTGTATGATGTTGGCCTGGGAAGACACATGGCCTTTAATCTAATTGTGAACTAAGCTTTGCTTGTCAAAAACTGGAGGATCCTTTGGTTCTTTGTAGTGGTGAAATGTTGGTGAGTTTTAGATGCTGCGAAGATGTACAATAGCAGTATCGATTGTGGATCACAGATCACTTGGGATGCCATATAACAATTTTCTTTCCTGCCTACCACACCAAACAATTGAAGAGTGTAAAAACTTATTGCTGTCTTATTCAAGGGAAAAAAGGTACGTATCCATGAACTTGATAAAAGACAGTATCTCCTATAATTTGTTTTACTAAGCATCTCCCATCTATTTAGAAGTGTACCATGAGTATTTGGTTAATCTTAGACATGGAATCGAAGTAATTCGATTCTTCTGTATTAAAGTGGCAATGAGCCACAAAGTTGATCCGGTAATTGTCAACTTGCTATTGGACGCAATGCCAGCATTGCCAAATGTGTGGTTATATCTTTGATGCAATTTTTTTTAGATGGCCTCTTAAGCTTTGCACAGCTATAATGAGTTTGAGATGGCCTCTGATTTAGATTCCCTTATCCATATTTTTAAAAGAACTCATCGCTGGAATTGAAGAGCAAGGAATCTGAAGTTGAACTACCGAGATCCAAATGATGGATCTAAACCTGAATCAACTAGAATCGGGTTGGGAGGAATTGAGGAAAGAAGCTCGAAAGATCGAAGGCGATCTTGATGTCAAACTATCTTCTTATGCTAAGCTCGGTGCTAGGTTCAATCCATGAGGGTATTTGTACCTTCATTTGGAGTAGAATATAAATCTCCCATTCTATTTATATATTTTTTTATTTCAAATTACCAGGAGGAAAGAAGCTCGAAAGATCGAAGGCGATCTCGATGTCAAACTATCTTCTTTTTGTTTATATTATACCGTACTGAGGTCAAGCTTTCATTGGCAATGAAAGAAGAAAATATAACCAAACTCTCGAAAGTTTTATGGTCCATGTTTTTTTTGAAAGCTTCACTCTAATAATTTGATACTTTTCTAGGAGCTGCGAAGCTCAAACTCAGATATAATATATTTTCTTTGTTTTCTGTATATGTACAGTCCTTATGGGTTTGAAGTAATGGTATAATTCTTCATTTTAAGGAATTCAGAAGAATCAAGCAATGAGGGAACATGCTTGTTAGCACAGTGTTCGGGGACTTAGAGGACTTGTCTTGAGACCAAATATTCTTGCTTGTTGCAGTACAATGGTTCTACTCTTATTTATATTTTTCAACTGTATTTAGCAGTGCTAATTTGACATTTCTTATTCATTCACTTGCCCCTTTTTTGCAATAGGCACTTGATGATAATGTCAAGTTAAAGCTCTCTCCGTTTTGCCATGTTCCGGTAATGAAACATGAATTCTATTTGTCTGCTTCTCTTCCATCTCCTAAATCAGTAACTATTGTTATTAAGAAATATGACTTCTTTCTAGGCCGAAAATACTGTCACTCTCTATGACGTTCCAAATATTTGGCACATTCCTTTACTACTAAGAGTAAGTAGTTCACTTTTTGAGTTCTTTTTATCATCTAAAATTCTTATAGTACAAAGTTATAACTGGAAATATATGTTCCTTGATTCATTTGTTTATTTTACTGATCATAAATAGGATCAAAAGGCACATGAAGCAATCTTGAAATGATTGAACCTACTAGGGTTTTCCCTATGAACTTTGAGGGACTTAGACATGCATGCTTTCTTGATCCAAAATTATAAGATTTCATTGCTTATCCCTCTTTTGTATTTCCTTAACTTTTCTAAGAATACAAACTTGCTCAGATTCTTGGGGTAAGAATTCTAACTTCTAAAAGTAAGATGACAACCAATACATTATTAAATTTTTTCTTTATTATGACATTTTTTACATTCTTATGTAGAATATATTTTAGTTTTCATGGTTCATGACTTCCTGTTTTTGTTGTTTGTTGCAACATCTTTTTTCAGTTCTCAATCACTCACATGTATGTTATGAATGCAAGTTCTGCTGGTTGTTTCCTTCTCTTCTTAGTCTCATCTAAATTATTGTAATTGCAGTAATCTTGAAGAACAAACTTCAACAAAAAGCGGCTTCTTCAATAGACTGGCACATCGTTTCCCATTTGTTTTTAATCTATTGAGGAGAGATCATTCACTGTCAAATGATACTTTCAAATAAGATGTCAAGACGATGAATATGACAAATTCCAATGAAGTGTGAAACAAATTAGCTTTAGAAGGCATATCTGGAGGTTATGATGATGACGCTAGTGAAATTGAGGATGTATCGAACAACAAATCCATGTATATCTATACTTTGAGGTTCAGTTGTAACTCATTTGTACTTTAATGTCTTTTAAGGTTCTCTCTCCATAAAAAAACTTTAATTTATTTTGTTGTTAAGTATTTTTCTTTATGTTTTTTGTCTTAATTAAAATGTATGGTTGTTGTTAATTAGATAAAGCTAGATATAAATTTAGGTGATGTATAGCAGAAATGAAATATGCAAAATCAATTAATATTAGCTAAATAAAGGTAATTAGCGGCGTTTGTATCCAAAAACGCCGCTATAGGTCTGACTTTTTGCGGCGTTTGTGTTCAAAAACGCCGTTATAGGTCTAACCTTTTGCGGCGTTTGTATCCAAAAATGCCGCTATAGGTTTAACCTTTTGCGGCGTTTGTTCTAAAAACGCCAGTATAGGTCTTCTCTTTTGCGGCGTTTGTATCCAAAAACGCCGCTATAGATCTGACCTTTTGCGGCGTTTTTTCTAGAAACGCCGCTATATATCATAACTTTTTGCGGCGTTTATTCCAAAAACGCCACTATAGATATCGACATTTTGCGGCGTTTGTTCAAAAAACGCCGTAATAGATATTGACCTATTGCGGCGTTTTTTGTTCTCAAACGCCGCTAACTTTAGCGGCGCTGGTATTGACGACGCTTCTTGCGGCGTTTTTCCTATCGCCGCAAATACTTTTAGCGGCGCTTAAAAACGCTGCTATAAGACTAAAAGAACGCCGCTAAAACTCTGTTTTGCTGTAGTGTAAACACTTGGAAATCCACATAGCTCAACGAGTAACAACAGATATACTATGTCCGATTTGTGGGAATGAAGAAGAAATCATATTGCACGTGTTATGAGATTATCGAATGGGCGTATGATTTGGGTGTAACCTATTCCGAATCAAGCCAAGATGGATTTCTTCTCCAAACCTTTGGCCGACTGGTTTCAGATAAATTTTTCTAACAATGTAGGGTTTGACCAAGCTGAGTATCACTGGAGACACCTCTTCGATATCCTCATATGGAGATTTTAGAAACAACGAATTTTTTGTGTTCAATAGACAGGTTTGGTCATCGACAACAATCATACGATAGGCATAGAGTTAGGCCCAATCAATCCAAAAGAACCACCATGGCCTTCCCTACAGTCAAGATCACCCGATCAAGATTCACCATTGATCTTTCCTAAGAGTAGGAGTGGTGAAACTCAACACAGATGAGACTGCTAGACCAGACACGACGACAACTGCAAGTGGATGTATTATTCAGGACAAGAGAGAAGAGAGTTAGGTATCACTAGAACATTAGAAGCTGTTCAATCCTCTATGTTGAACTCTAGGCACTTCTAGATGGTCTCCAAATCGTCTGGGATCAAGGAGCAACTTAAGTATCTGTGGTGATGGACAATAGCAACTTAAGTATCTGTGGTAACAATAGTGAGAGAGTAAGGCTTCTTAATTATCATACTCAGAGGCACGAGCTGTTGCTCATTCAAAGGATCCGACATCTTCTCCGACTCGAAGGTTCAGATTTTGGATTAAAATCCATAATTATTGGACTCATATTTAAATGTATATTTTTATCATAAAATATGACATAAATTAAGTGACAATTATGTAATAAAGTGATACATGCACCAGGGTCCATAATACATGCTTCTTTAGACTAATGTTTCTACTCGAACCTATTAGAAGAACAAAGTCTCGAAGATTCAAAGCATATCTATTCAGTAAGCATAATGTGAATGAATAATTAAACGATTCTAATGTTTCTCCCTTTAATGTTTCAGATTCGAAGTCGAATCTTTTTGAAGAAAGGGAGGATGATACATGCATCACAAGGGTCACATCAAAGGAAGAAGTAATAACTCTTCCAAATGATCCACTCGTCCAAGCCTTGGAAAAGAAGACCAGAACAACAACAGACTTACGACGATTTTTTGAATGGGATCCTGATCTTATTTGGTCAACATGTCTTCTGTAGATACAACCATTTGTCTCTTATCTTTCTAACGGTTCTTAAATCGTGTCAATCCGATATCGGGAACTCAAGATATGGCCATTTTACTGAAAACTGTGCGTGCAGAAAATCGTATACGAGATTAATACGTGAATTTGTAAATATTACGAATTTTCAATATTTATATTAATTATTTATAATATAATTTAATATAAAATGATGAATTATATTTTAGGATCATATTTATTATTTTATTAGGTATTAAGGTTGGTTAAAACAATATTTTTATTTATTATTATTTTATTAGAAATTAGAGTTAAGACATGTTTAGTTTATTATTATTTTATTCTTTAGTTATTTAGGACCTTTAGAACTTAGTCCCTATATAAAGGAGGCTTCATTCAACTTTGTACATGAAGATTTATTTGATTAATAATACAACGATAGTTCATTTTTGCAAGTGTTGATTGCCTTGTGCCTTTGAAGCTTATTCTCCTTGAGTTCTTTCAAGTTCTTGTGAGGGAGATTAATCTTCACACTCCAATTTGCCTTTTCATTGCGACTAGGAGGGTTGGTTAGAGCCATATTATTGTGTTTGCCTTTTCATTGCGATTAGGAGGGCTCAATAGGACATTATCCATCGATTTTCCACATATCCATCCACGCCATCAATCATCTTTACCGTTCACCTTCATAAGGGAGATCTTTTGATTTATTGATTATCTTATTTTACTTGCAAATCCTTTATCTTTTCTTTATCTTATTTTAATCTTATTTCTTACCTTGTTTCCAGTACCTAAAAGAAATCCCAAGAACCCTAATTGCTACCGCCACCTTCCCCTATTCATTCCCCATTGTTCTTCATCAAGTCTAGAGCTTTCTAGGTTTGATTCTTCAACAAGAGCAACGTTCATTAATCCGCCACCGCTTTCCTATCATAAAGTGATAAGGTATTAAAAGTGTCATGAAAATAAAAGTGTAGATACTATTAAAGTTGTACTTATAACTTGATAAGGGGCAGAGTTACAAGTACATACAATAATTGATTTTTAAATCAGCTATACAAAGAGTTATGGTCCCCAAAAAATAGACATTTTCGTATTTACTTTTATCCTCGTCAGAGAGTTTATACTTAAGAGAACTATATCTTCTTGGAAGATCATAATCAAAGAAGATTTAAGATTTCAACCTATCAATTAATTTAGATACATTTTCGCTAATTTAATATTTATTTTATTCATGATGATTTGATATGTTTAGATTCTCATTAATTTTCATATTTATTTAAGGTTTGATTCTAACATCGGATCGTGCATATCCACTGAGAAATCAATGCTGTAGCGGATACTTTGGCTCACTTTAGAATGGAAGGATTGGACTTTTTATTGTTCAACTCCTTCTCACGTTTGACATGGCTGGTTTGAGAAGATGACTTTTGCATTATCTTGTCATGCTTTCCTTCGTAATAAAGAAAAAAATTCACATCAACATCTCAAATCTCATAATATTTTAATATTTATTTTTCAAGTATTTAAGTATATAACTTTTTTATAAAATTTAATTTTTCTAATTATTTATTTTATTAATTATATTTTTGAGATATTATTTATATCGAATTACATATATAAATTTTATATTATTAATAATATATGAGAAAATAACCTCAGTGATCGAAAATGTCTTATAATATACGATTTTAACCAACTTTTTTTGGATTTATGAAAATGATTAACAAATTCGCAACGCGAACTCCAATTTCGCAACTCAGTTTCCAAATTCGCAACGCAAATTTAGAAAATCGTAACAAAGAAGTCAAATTCGCAACACGTTTGCCAAATTCGCAACACTGAATTTCAAATTCGCAACTGAATTTCAAATTCGCAACTGAATTTCAAATTCGCAACTCGATTTTCGAATTCGCAACACGAATTTAATTTCTTAACAGGTTTTAGTTTCGCAACACAAATCTTTTGGGTATATAACTACACAGCAGTAGCAACTCATAACCTAAATCCCTAAATCGCAACTCATTCCATCTCCATCTATCACTCTCTCCAGCGACATCCGTTCCTATATCTAACGACATCCTTCCCCATCTCTAATTGTTTTTTACATAATTTTATTTCTATATAATTTTTCAATGATTTCTCTCGCAAATTATCAACTATCAACTTAATAAATGTATGTTTTTCTCTAAGTTAGTGGTGAAATGTAGTTTATAGCTCGTTTGTTTAGTAAATTAATTTACAATTTGTAGAATGAAATCATCTAATGTTGATCATGTTTGGATAGATTTGTGTTTTAGAGGGTCATGGGAGAATGTTCATGGTGTTTTACAATATGTGTCTTTACCCATGAATCTTCAAATAAAACTGTCATTAAAAAAGTTAACTTATGAAACTCTAATGTTACGTGTTGCAAACAAATTAAATTTAGAGCCTCTAAGTGGATTTAGGCTATCTTATCAGAGAAAAGGTAAAGTTTATTTGTTAACCGACAATGAAGATGTTGAACGATTCATTGCTTACATTAGTGTTTCGCAAGAAGATGATGTTACATTGTATGTTGTTAAACCTAGAAGTAGTGAAGTTGGGTCAGTAGCGAGTAGTAATCAACTAAGTTCTTCAACCCCAGTTTATGGTGCTCACAATGTACAACGTTGTTATTAACCTCAAAATTTAATGGTTCCACCACAATTTCATCACCAAGAAAATTTTGTTTCACCACATTTCCAATACCAAACACAATCTCAAAACCCACAACCTTTTCCTAATCCAAATCTCAATCAACTTTCAGCACCAAATTCTGGTTTTCATATTGATCAGTTAGACGATTATGAGCCAGCAGAAAAAATTATGAGTACTAGTC